CTGAATTGGCACTAATAATAGGTTCTGATTTTCAAAACATTTTTCAAAGCATACAAAATAGGTTCAACAAAGAATCGGAAAATGTGAAGGCTAGGCAAAAGGCTAAACTACAACATCTCAGACCTCCTGATAACATTGATAGGAATACTCAAATTTCACAGTGTGATGATGCAAAAAACCAAGTTGTGAATCTGTCTTCTAAAGTTCTAAACCCAGTTGAGATTTCTGTTTTGAGCAGAGGGCTAAATTTTTCCGTTGTGCCTAAATCAGTTAAAACGCTGGATTTTGTGACAGGGATTGAGTCTGCTGTTTCTCAGTTACCTGAGTCTCAGGGGGATCAGTTCCGTTGTGAAGCTAGTATTTTACTAAAGAAAATTCCCACTCCTAAACCTAATCTTAGTAAAGAGGAAACCAAAGCAGTATCAGTCCTTGGGAAAGACGGTACTGTAAAGATTTTGCCCGCGGATAAAGGGAATGCCACGGTAGTTCTTGATACTGTGACATACGAAGAAAAAATGTTAGAAACTTTGCAATCTGGCCAATACACCCAATTGAAAAAAGACCCCACAGAAACTTTCGAGCGTAAAATCGCGAGTACTCTAAGAAAACACAAAAAGTTTTTTAGTGACAAACAAAGGACTCGGTTGACACCACACCATTCCAAAATTCCACACATGTACGGGTTACCTAAGATCCACAAACCTAACGTTCCTCTGAGACCAATAGTTAGCTCCCGTGATTCTGCTTGTAGGGAATTGTCTAAAGTCCTTCTGGACATTTTAAAGCCTTTAGTAGGAAACACTGATTCGTTTATCAAAAACTCCAAAGATTTTGTAGAAAAGTCTAAATCTATCGTACTGGCTGATACTGACAAGCTGGTCAGCTTCGATGTTGAAAGTCTGTTTACGAATGTCCCCGTTTCGGAAACCCTAAAAATAATTGAGACTCGTCTCACAAACGACGATACTTTAGCTAACAGAACTAAACTCCCTGTTAACGTCATAATGGAACTTTTGGAGTTGTGTACTCAATGTAACTATTTCCAATTAGAGGGTAAATTATACCGTCAAGATGAGGGTATGGCCATGGGGTCACCATTGTCACCTATCTTTGCCAACATCTTTATGGAGGAGTTTGAGCAAAAAGCTTTGGCTTCAGCTCGGCTCAAACCGAGGATATGGTGGAGATATGTCGATGACACGTTCGTGGTTTTCCCTCATGGAGATGATAAATTGAATGAGTTTTTAGAGCATCTTAATAGCGTTTCATCCTCCATAAAACTAACCATGGAGGTGGAATCACAAAACAAACTCCCCTTTTTGGACGTGTGCGTAGAAAAGCATTTGAACAGTCTTAGAACATCTGTTTATAGAAAAAAGACACACACAGGGCAGTATCTAAACTTTCAATCAAACCACCAAATTTCTGTCAAGGAGGGGGTTGCTTACTCTCTGTTTGACAGGGCTAAGAGCATTTGCTCCAATCAGGATGAGTTGAAGGATGAAATAAAGAAAGTAGAACAGGATTTGGCTAGTAACGGATACCCTCGATCCATTATAAACAAATGCAAGAAAGATAGGGCTACTCGTGAACCTTTACAAAATCGCAAGGAAAAACTCGTCCACATGTCAATCCCGTATGTGTCAGGACTGTCGGAAAAAATCAGAAGGGTTGCTAGGAAATTTAATGTGCAAACAGCATTTAGGACACAAAACACACTTAGGCAGAGTCTCGTCAAAACAAAACCCAAAAATGACACTCAGGATACTAAAAACTGTGTTTACAGAATAAATTGCAATGATTGTTCCAGGCCTTACTATGGCGAGACAAAAAGACCGTTGAACATTAGAATCAAAGAACACAGAGAAAACACCAAAAAAGGTTTAGTGGAAAAATCTAAGATCGCTCATCATTGCTGGTCCGAAAATCATCGTATGAATTTTGAAGAGGCAAAAATTGTCCATAAGGAACCTCATTTTTTCAAACGTAAACTCATTGAAGCCTCATACATTAAATTAGCAGACCAACCAATCAGTCAGTCATCGGTTGAAATAAGGCCACTTTGGCTACCCATTTTGAACAAGGAACTAAAGGATAGGGAACTTAATTGTTCGATAAATAGGGAAATAACGAGTTCTCCTCAAAATTCGCACGTTATGTTAACTCGTAGTAAAACTCGTGATAGGAATAAACATAATTAACACCCATCTTGCGGCATCGTACATCGCTCCGCCATTTTGTTGGTTTTACTTTTCCAGGGACCGGAAGCCATTTCTGTTGTCTCCGTGTTTCCGATTGGTCAGCCATGTTGGTTCAGTCTCATTGGTGGAGTCATAGCGTACGGTGTTGTTAGTGTTCCATTGTGTGAGTTTTTTGTACATAAACCTTTAATTATAGATTATAGTGTTTTGTGATTTGTTATTAATTGCATGTTGTATCATGACTTGACTGCTATACAGTGCATATTTTTTGACTACTACCCACGGTAGTGTATTCCAACTTAGGTTGGACGTTTGTGTATTGTTAGTTGTAATGTGTTAGTTAAGTTTTTTCACCTGAAGACGGGATCAGATTCCAGATCCCGAAACGTTGTGTATTGTTTTTTACATTCGTGATGGAAAATGTCCGCAATAAACCTTTGAACAATGTTAACATTGTCTCACTCTAATTACTTTGTCTCACTCCAGATTTGCAACGTGAAGGCACGAAATAGTGAACGCGTAACATGCAGGCAACGGTATGCGCGCGAAATACATTGGCAGCACTGGCTGTAAATCAGCTGGTCAGCTGTTGTACTGTTGTATTTGTCACTTCACATTAAATGTTATATTAAAAGTTCACTTCTGTGTAAAAATAGGTTAATGTTTCTTCACAAATTTATTTGTTTTATGGTAACTGTAGGAAAAGTATAATGTGCAACTCGAGTTCAAAGTACAATTGCCTCACTCGAGAAACCATTCCTCACTCGCCTACGGCTCGTGAGTAAAGATTTCTCTCGAGTGAGTCAATTGCTCACTTTTCTCACTAGTTGCACAAATAACTATTATTTACATTTTCTTGTTAGTTCATAAAACTGTCATGGATACTTTCGTCCCATACGCCTAATGTTAAAAATTGTAAATTTTAAGTTCCTTTTAAATTGTATTAGCATTATGTAATTGAAATTAGTTTGTTTACAAACCTTCTCACTATTAGTCAAAGTAATCTTGTTAAGTTTGGCTGAAATGGGTTCAGCTGTTTTTGAGTTCAAGTGATACAACCTTTGCATTGAAATTGATCCCAAAGAGCTTCGCTTCGCTCAATAATGAATTTTTGTACCATACATTTTTAGACAGGAACAAGCCAGGGATTGGATTGTTCCTAAAACAATTATAAAATACCATACTAAAGGAGTATAAAAGACACAAAACTGTATGTTACTATATTTCAACTTCATTATATAAAGGGGAAAATGTGGAATTGCAGTTATAGTGGGGTCGTATAGCTGCATATGATGGCAGAATATTTCAGTTCTGGCAGAGAGGCTGCAATTTTAGGTGGTTATAGTATACAAGTTTCTGAACCTAAAACCGCCCAGACCCCAATTTTTAAGGACCTCGGTTGTCCGTAATGACGTCATCAAAATGGTGGCCGTAAGAGGATGCTGGGTCCCCATGAATTGGCTATAACGACCGAATGCCTGAACCGATTTTCATGAAATTTGGCACACAAGTGCTTGAATACATTATCTCGGCCTGGGTTGAAAATGGTCAAGTTTCATCAAGTCATTTCGAAATGGCGGCTGTTGAAAACTAATAAAATATGAGGAAAATAATTGTGAATTGTTTTATACAGGGTGATTTTCAAATGAGTTCCCCCCTACTTTTTTATACATTTCTTAAGATATCAACTCTGAACCAGGTCAGATAATTGTAGAGTAGCGAGTACTTCATTTTGACTGGGTTTTATTTTATCCGTTTTTTGTTATCAAGCTTTCGTGATAAAATATAATAATTATTTTGATTTAAAATGTCAATATTTCAAAAACCAAATATGAGAATGAAAAACGGATCGCGGCATTGAATTCAACATAAAAAAGTAGTTTAAATGATGGGTCACAACACCACCTTCATATTTAAAATAATTTATCACACTTCAAAATGGCGGATTCAAGATGGCGGCTGAAAAAAATACATCCGTCATAACTGAGTGAAAATAGGTCAACAATGAATGGTGGTGTCCACTTATCTTTATCTAGCACTATTTTGAGATTATGGCCTTAGTTTGTAAATGCACAATGTTATAATGGACTAAAAATAAAGTTATAAAAAGTTCTCATAACTTTAGAATGGATCAACATTTTTTTTTACGAATTGCAGCATCGTATTCAGCGTAAAAGTCTTGTTTGAAACGGTGGGTCACAACCCTACCTTTACATTTGAAAAAATAACTTTTTATCCAAAATGGCGGATCCAAGATGGCGGCCAAAAATTTAAACCCAGTCAAAATTAAGTACTTGCTACACTAGAATGATCTGACATGGTTTAAAGTTGATATCTTAAGAAATGTATAAAAAAGTAGGGGGGGAACTCATTTAAACTCACCCTGTATAAAACAATTCACATTTATTTTCCTCATATTTTTTTTTAGTTTTGAACAGCCACCATTTTGAAATGACTTGATGAAACTTGACCATTTTCAACCCAGGCTGAGATAATGTATTCAAGCACTTGTGTGCCAAATTTCATGAAAATCGGTTCAGGCATTCGGTCGTTATAGCCAATTCATGGGGACCCAGCATCCTCTTACGGCCGCCATTTTGATGACGTCATTACGGACGACTGAGGTCCTTAAAAATTGGGGTCTGGGCGGTTTTAGGTTCAGAAACTTGTATACTATAACCACTTAAAATTGCAGGCTCTCTGCCAGAACTGAAATATTTTCCTGCTACCCAACCTGACTATTATGGAATTTCGATGTAGATTAATTTACATACTGTTACATAACTTATCTTTATCTAGAATGTGACACAATCAGAAGATGATGCTGTTACTCAGAGGCTAACCAGGTTAGAAGAACAAATGAAGACGATTCTCGCACACAACAGGTAAAGAAAAAATTATTTATTCTACACTTTGCTACACAACATTCAAAAATGTTATCTTCCGTAAGCTCATCAATTTTTTTTTAATTTAATGGCCTAGCTTTCAAACCCTTCTCTGAAAATATCACCACACCTCCACCTGAAGTGGTGGTACGGCAATACTCGGAAGTTAAAGATAATTGATTTAAATTAAATAAAATATTTCTAGATTACCTTTTGTCATATTATGCTCAGTCAAAACAACAATATTTGGTTTTATCTCTTCCATTCACAATTTCAAAGACTATTTTCTAGATGACAGGTGTTGAATATTTTGATGAAATATTTTAATTGATTTTAAACTTTGAATCGATGATAATTTTGTTTTTGAAGTTTTTGCCAATTTTAAAATTTAAGTCAGGTTGACGAGGGGGGTCAAAGAAGAGTTTAAATTACAGTTCTGTGGAGTCAGGTGAGGCTGTGACGGTGTCAGCCGATTTACCAGGGGGTGTTTGTGTTCCAAGCTCCAAAGAATTTCTGGCAGGCTGTGTAGCGTTGTCATCCTCTTGATCTTCAATGCATGGTGGAGGCAGGGTAGATTCATCGTGCTTTGGTTAATCAGCAGTCCCGGTGCATTCCATTTCTAATCTTGCTTGCTGCACTTTTCAGAGCGCTCAAAAATTGTGGGTGCGATAATCTGTTTTGTAAAACTCGGGAAGATGCTTTGTTGTAGGAACTAATATAGTAGTTGCATTGGTGAGCAAACCAAAGTCTTCAGCCCCCTTTTCTTAAAATCATTTGTCAACTGCTTGTAGGCGTTATCGTAGTCTTGAGAGGATGGCATAGTGTAATATATTGGTTTTGTTATCAGACTATAAACAACAGCTCCATTCTTGATTTCCTGACACGTTAATTTCTCTAAAACATAATCCGAAGCAATGGGTTACCCCATTTTCGCCTGAATTTCATTGCAACACCAGCTGACATGTGCCGAGGATTGGAGAAATCAGCAGATATGGTATGTGCAGAAGCGGCTGAGACATCTGTTTCCCATTGATCCATTGCATAAAACATGTCCACCTCTACAATATTGATCTTTGTGGTAGTATCGGTCTTTATATAATTTACAGCTTTGTCTTTTTTTTATTGGATGTTGTTAATATGGCAGCCACTTTTTGAGCAAAATTAGATTTTCCTCGCCTATTGAAATTAGTCCATGGCCAGTGAAAAAATTACAGAGCGTGACAGAAAAAAAAAGACAGAAGTCCCACTTGTGAATGATCCTCAGCAATCCATTCAAGTTCAAAGTTTATGATAGAGATCTTAATGTCCAAATCTGGCCTGTCTCGCCTCATCGGTAAGGAAGCTAATAACAGGTCAGTAGCTTACGTCGATACAAACGTTTAAGTGTTTCAAGGACCCCCTGATCCATTGGCTGGCACAAAGAGGTAACGTTCGGTGGCAAAAACACACACTTTATTTCTCCACTTTTTAGTTCATCTACAGATGGGTGTGAAGGGGCGTTGTCGAGCAATAAAATAGCCTTCTTTGGCAAATTGTTTTTTTCAGCATACCTTTCAACAGACGAGACGAACTGATTGTTAAACCACTCTCTGAAGATCGCAGAATTCATCCAAGCGCTTTTTTGTCCTCTGTACCAGACCGGTAATGTCGACTGATCTTTGAAGTTTTTAAACGCTCTTGGTGTATTTGATTTTCCAATCATGCAAAGTTTGAGTTTATTGTTTCCTGTGACGTTGCTGCAGGCCATTATTGCAACCCTCTCCTTTTTCTTCTTATAACCTGGAGCGCTATTTTCTTCCTTGGAAGCCAGAGTGCAGCTAGGTAGCATTTTAAAGTTCAAACCACTTTCGTCACAGTTGTATAACTGGTCCCTGCTGATTCCTTCCTCGTCAAGCAGCTTGTGTAAAAACATTTTAAACTCTCCCACAGCGTTTTCATTTCCTGACAACTTTTCTCCGCTTATATAAAGCTTTCTGACCCCTTATCGATTCTTCCACTTTTCCAACCACTCCTCAATGGCTTCGAAATTGGGATCACTTACGATTTCCTTATTAAATTGGAGAGCCTTTTCCTGCAAAATGGGTCCAGACATGGGCAGTCCTTTTGATCTACATTGTGTAAACCACAAAAATAACGCTTTGTTCACTTTGTCATACACGGTTGTTTTCATCATTTTGCACTTTTTTATTCCTGAACTTGATGCCTGGTTAGAACACCATTTTTCTATTTTTTCATGGGATTTTATCCAGTCACTCACTGTACTAGTCCCCACTCCCATCTCACTCGCTATCTTTTTTGCACTTTCGCCCGCTTGCAAACGTTTCAACGCGTTAAGTTTTTCCTCCATCGTAATGACAATCTTTTTTCGGCCATAACAACTCATTCGCCTCTAGCACTCTTCCTTCCCGAAACTAAAACAAACCGTACAAACAAAGACTAGGTCACTGAGGCACAACAAAGGCAGCACTGAAAACTGACACAAGTGATGCGTTGTCGTCGCTGCGCATGAGTGGGGTGTTGGCGTGGGTAGGAGGGGTGGGGGGAATTCTATTTTTGTTTCGCGAGTCAGTGACCTTGCCCGCGCACCTGCACATCGCATAACCCTCACGGCACGCCAGCGTCTCTAACCGGCCTACAAACAGCGACTGCTCGGTCAACAAACATTTGCCCTAGAGTGTTTTTGAATTTTTTCAAAATCGCGTCCGGATATCGGAGGGTCCGGATATGGGAGATCCGGATAAGAGAGGGTTTACTGTATTGGTTTAAACGTCTGTAGACTATAGGGGTTTTCTCGGATATCAAACACATTGCAACACTCAACATCTACTTACATTAAGTTTTGAGGGCATATGTTCCAAGATAGCAGCTAAAAACTCTGTTTTCACATGTCTCCCTTGTTTGTTGGCTTAAAATAATTATTTAAACGTCTGAATAGGGTTATTTTCGGATGCAAAACACATTGCAACACTCAAAATTTACAGTACTTACATTAACTTATGAGGTCATATATTCCAAGATGGCAACCAAGATGGTCGCCAAAAATTCTGTATCCGTATACCTCCCTTGTTTATTTGTTTAAAATAATAATAACATCTACAAAGGTGTTTTCTCGGATTTCAAACACATTGCAACACTCATTATTTACTTCCTATGAGTTTGGAGGGCATAGGCTAAAACATAGAAGCTAAAACTCCTATGAAAGATAAGAAACGTAATATAAATTTTAAAAATCCACATGAATGGTGTAAGCAAGTGCACCAAACTACAAGTGCATGACCTTGTGTTCTGATAGTCAGGGTAGGAATGTGCAAAAGAAAATTGAAAAATTCAGCAACAATAAAATTAATGTTTTCGGATATGTTCTTGCCAATGCAAGTTTACTACAAGTTTTAGAATCATCTTCAATAGACACAAGTAACCCTGTCAGTTCAAATAATAATATAACTGAATTAACTAGATCCACTTATGATTTACAGGCATATTATATAAAAGTTTATTTGTTTGTAAATAAATATTTAATAAAATAATTTATTTAAAAACCTGCTTGCAATGAGGTTAACTTTGCTCCTAAATGTTTAATCAAATTAAAACAGTGTGCACAATATTTATAGGTATTTATTATATTTCCAGCCGGCTTCAAAACTTTAAACAACACTATTTATACTCTTCTTAATACCATATACAGTAGTTAATATGAATTAGTTTCAAACACTTTTATTGAAGAGTACAAAATCACTACATTCGTACATGGCAATGTCAACATGTCAAACCCCTTATTAATATATTTAAGAATATTAAATAATTTAACTGTTATAAATATTCTAATATTTGAGTTATAAAGTTGTTATTAAATATGAGCGTATATAATTATTGAATCCTATTGATAACCAAGTTTACAGTTATATGTTAGGTTAAAGATCAGTGTTTTGGAGTTAAAAGGCTCGCAAAACGACATTTAAATCCAAGCTTAAGACATAAAAAAGAGTAGTAATAATAGAATAGAATAGATTTATTGGTCAACTTAATCTATTTTTTGGAATTTCCAGTTTGAATTTATTTCTGGTGTTGTGTTTATGAATCTCATTTCTTTTGACCAATAAATTTACATTCTTTTTTATCAAAATCAGAACCTTATAGATGTATAAATTTATCACTGTCAGAATCCCAGTTTGAAAAAATAATGGTCTACAGTGATCTAGGCTATCTGCACCTGATAAAATTCGGGTAGCCTTTTTCTGTACTAAAAGAACATGTTCGATTCCAACACCATTACCCCACACTATGAGACCATACCTAAGCAAACTTTCAAAAAAGGCATAAGTACTTTTTTAAGTGCCATTTTAAGTACTTATCTGATACAAGTTTTTTTAGGTTTATCAAAAGGTTAATTAGTCTGGACAATTGTTTACATACATTTTCAATATGCACTTTCCAAGAGAGCCTACTATCAATACCTAGTAACTTAACAGGTGAACAGTTTTCTAAATCTAGATCCCTAAAGGAAATTTGCAAATTACATGTTTTACTTTCATTTAAATACAAAGCTATTTGAATTAAACCAATTGACAGTATCAGTAGTAGAGGTAGTTGCCACATGTTTAAGTTGGCATCATTAACATTTAGTAATGTAGTGTCATCTGCATAAATAATAGTCTTACAAGTTAAGTTATCAGGCAAGTCATTCATTAAAACTAAAAATAAAATGGGCCCCAATACTGAGCCTTGGGGACACACCTTGGTTCACACAAGCAACATCAGAACGTATGCCATCCACCACTACTATCTGTTTGCGGTCCAGCAAATATGACTTTTATATTGCAAGCTCTCTGTTGTATAAACCATAAAATCTAAGTTTATCTAGTAAAATGTCATGTTTAACACAAGTTTAATAATGCCACAAAATAATAATGGCGGCCAAACCAGAGTAGGAGGGGGCCCACTATGAGTGGCCCTGCTGAGCTATAGGCGCGTCTTTTCTTATATATATTACAACTAGTCACGATACAGACCTTGTGGCCACACGTAGTGGCCTTCCGACCGCAGAGGGATAATTTAATATACAAGTTGTTTTATAATGCGGGTTGAAAAGTAGACAAATTGGCAAAAATTAAAATGGTAAAAAGGAGGGAGCAAAAGAGGTTATGACTCACCCTACATATTGAAATCAAGTGGGCTGAACTCAATCCTCTTCTAGCTAGAGTAGAATATCCTCAGCCTGTTTTTAGTGCTCATGAAAGGTAGGTATTAGACAGGATTATGGAGTATGTGTGTGCAGTGGAATTGCCAAGAAATAAAGTTTGAAATACTAAACACAAGTAATCTTTCTACAGTAAATACTTGAGAAACAGTAAATTGGAACCATTTGTAAAAACAGTTGTAAAAATATTGAAATGCCTATATAAAAGCTGGCAGGGTTGTACTATGCACTGTATCATAGTGATACAACTTTTGTAAAATTAGAGAAAAAAACATGATACATTTGAACAGTTCATATATTGTAATAATTAAAAAGCAGTACATGTATGAAAATAGTATTTAAAATACTAACTTGTATTCTAATTACAATTGTAAAAATATTAAAATTCCTATATCTTGTAAAGCGGGCAGGGTCGAACTGTATCAAAGTGATACAATGACCTTGGGAGTGACAAGTGTTTACCCGACGAAACCGGTTACACCACTGATCGATATTAGGTAGGAGTAGAGACCAGGGTTAGGGAGGGGGTGGTGGTTGGACCGCTCACTACAAAATGGTGGCAAGGAAGTAAAGGAAGCCTTTGTATCAATTTGATCAAGTGCGACCGCCCAAAGTGCTCTTTATTTCTGATTCTATTCAATTGTGATTTTAATACTAACAACTAGTTTACTGTTTAGTACAATGTTACATTAATTTGATTTATTGCAGCATGCAGGAGAATGTAAAAAAAGAACTGTCAGCTTGTCAACAAAACAACTTGCAACTAAAGGAGGAGCTCAAAAGTGCAGTAAAAGCTAAGGATCTTGCCGAAGCAACTGCAACTAAGTATGATATTGGCTATTAACGACGTTGTAATTTTGAGTTGTTATTTTCCTGTTAGTTTAAACAAAAATCTGAAAGTTTAGTAAAATAATTCAAAAAATACCTAACAGATTATTCTTAAAAGTTATTACCTGTAGTGATAGGTTAGTATCTGTTATCACCAAAATAAAATGTGCAAAACAACTACTTAAAAATAATAATTAATTGCATAAAATAAAATTGCTACAACAACTACCATCAAACAAGCATTTTAACTTTTCAAATGATGTAATCTTGGTTCAGCTGCGGCTATGATCATATCATACAATGCTCATGCCAATGCTGGAAGTACAAAAACCTCTCTCTCGGGAGTTTTGGAGACCCCTGGCCTAGCTCATGAAGAATGCCAAGTTTTTTAATCAGATTATAGGTAAACTTATTTCAGATTATTTATCTGTATTTTCAAGAAAAATATATAGTACTAGCTGGCCCGACAGACGTTGTCCTGTCCTAATGTGGTTTTATGTCAATTGTTCATACATTTTCAAGATGAGCTCGTTCGCATGGCTCAATCATGCCCTGGTTGAAGTTCGTTCGCTACTCTCACTCACCTTTAGGTTGGAGCTCGTTCGCTGCGTTCACTCGCCTCCAGGTTGAAGTTTGTTCGCTACGCTCACTTTTGGGTTGCAAATTAGCTGTTGTCATTAATTAAAAAAATAATAGTGCTTCACCCTGTTGGTCATTAACTTTTTAATGCTATTAAACATCACAGAATCAAATTGTTTGGTTGAACCAGCTGATAAGATTATTTAATTCCATTTAAATATGAGTACTCATAAGGTTAACATGGGAAACTCCAGAGCCACTGGGGTGGAGCCCTTTTCACGAATCTGCACCAAACTTCACACAAACCATCCTTGAATAATGCTTAATAATGCCTGAAAGTTTCATTACAATCTGTCGAGCGGTTTTGGAGTCCATAAAGGACAAACAAACAAACGTACATACATTGGATTTTATATATATAGATTCAAAATAGTACCAAATTTTCCATAAAGGAGCCACCAATGGTAACTCACAAGATTCATCTTGTATCAGAGGGAATATGCTATTTTGTCAAAATTTAATCATTTTAGCGAATTTCCCTATAGGGAAGTAGCTATTACAGTAGGTGGCATGGTAAGACCTAGGCCTGGGACACAAGATCACCCCATCTAGGCCTGGGACTGTCGATTTACTTTTCATTTTAATGTCCCCAGAGGCCAAAAACACCATTCGTTCAAATTTGTATATATCTTATCTTACTAATATTATAAATCTAAAATTTTGTGAGTTTGTGTGTGTGTGTGTGTGTTGCTCAATCACGCATAAACTACTGGACGGATTGGGCTGAAATTTGGCATGATGATAGCTCACATTCCCGATTAACATTAAAGCATATTCTTATCTCAAAAATCCTTTCGGGCTCCGCCCCAGTGGCTCTGTAGTTCCCCATGTTAACCTTATGATTTTTCATATTTAAAGTAATTAATGAATCTTAACAGCTGTTTCAATTAAACAAGTTGGTTCTGTTCTATGATGTTCAATAGCATCAAAGTTATAAGGATTACCAACAGGGTGCAGCACTATTATTTTTTTTTAATTTATGACAACAGCTAATTTCCAACCATAAGGTGAGTGAGCGTAGCGAACGATCTTCAACCTGGAGGTGAGTTAGCGTAGCGAACGAGCTAACCTGAAGGCAAGTGAGCGCAGCGAACGAGCTCCAACCTAAAGGTGAGTGAGCGTAGCGAACGAACTTCAACCAGGAAGTGAATGAGCCATGCGAATACTTATGAAGTTAAACGGGGCGAAGCCCGCGGGTACAGCCAGTGTGTATATATATGTGTGTCTGTGAACGCGATAACTTGAGTAATTTTTGTCCGATTTTGATGAAATTTGGTTTAAAGGTGTAGAGCGGGATAAACTTGAATGAGTTCACGAACCAGCATGATCGGACCATGTGAACGGGGTTTTATGGGGCAAAAATAGGTTTTTCTCATTTTTGACCCTCAAAACACAAAATTTTCCAATAATTTATCTCTACATTTTTTTAAAGAGATTAAAAAAAAAAACAATTTAGTATATCAAAGTGTTTTTGTACGGTTATTGGAAACGGAGAAAATTCAACAAATTTAAAATTCCCATGTTATTCTTATGAAGAATATTGTAAAATGTTGTAGTTTGCTTGTTTATGGATATATTTTGATCAAACTTGGCAAATTTATTTGTTTTATACTAATTTATTAATATTTACCAAAAAACTCATTTTTAGCGAATTTCCCTATAGGGAAGTAGTTAATACCGTAGGTGGCACGGTAAGACCTAGGCCCGGGACCGATTTACTTTTTAATTTTGATGTCCCCAGAGGCCAAAAATACCATTTGTTCAAATTTTTTAAATGTGTGTATATATATATATATACATAGATTTATATATATGTATATATATATATACGTCCGTGAACGCGATAACTTGAGTAATTTTGTCCGATTTTGATGAAATTTGGTTTAAAGGTGTAAGGCGGGATAAACTTAAATGAGTTCGCGAACCAGCATGATCGTACCGTGGGAATGGAGTTTTATGGGGTAAAAAATTGTTTTTCTCATTTTTTACCCTCAAAACACACAATTTCCCAATTTCTCTCTAGACCTTTTTAAAGAGCTTAAAAAAACCAATAATTTAGTATATCAAAAGTCTTTTTGTACGATTATTGGTAACGGAGAAAATTTAAAAAAATTTAAGTTTAAAATTCCCATTTTATTCTTATGGAGAAAATTGTAAAATGTAGTCGTTTGCTTGTTTATGGATATATATTTTGATAAAACTTGGCAAATTAATTTATTGTATATTAAGCTATTAATATATTACTAAAAAACCCTACTTTAACAGTTTCCTTGTAGCAGCAAACCGAGGTACTCGTTAAACCTAATGATATTTAAATAGATTTAATTGAAAATCAATTCCGAAAAATGGAAATTCGCTTAATCGGCAGGTTTGCTGCGGCGGGGGTATTATAGTTTCCTTGTAGCAGCAAACCTAGATACTCGTTAAACCTAATGTTATTTAAATAGATTTAATTAAAATCAATTCAGACAGATGGAAATTCGCTTAGTCAGCAGGTTTGCTGCGGCGAGGGTATTTTTTAATATAGTTTGGAAAAAATGTTGTACTAAAAATTAGCTTTATCTGCATACATTTTATGAAAAGCCAAGAAAAATTCATAAATACCCATCCACTTTAATTATATGTAGGTATTTATTGCAAAGTTCAAATTTGTAAATCACTGCACACCAGAAAAGAAACTAAATCCTTTAACAAATGAATGGAATTTTGACATAAAAAACCCAATAAACCATTTCAAACATTGCTAGTGTTTGTACTTTTTATAAATACCCTTTTATATATAGAGAGACTTTTGGGTATATATCTGGCCCACATCACTCCAGCCACTAACTTCACCATTCCCTTCTGTAAATAACAACTTTCTGGTCTAAAAATAGTACAGAAATCAGCTGCTGGCTGTAGTGTGGTGTCATCTTTCTCCTGAAAAATAAATAGAATTATTATATAATCCTGTCCAATCACATTGTCTTTGTCTCCTGCTAAGTATTTATAATTGTTTTTCCAGATATGAACGTTTGTTTAACATGGTGAAGAAGAATGTTCCCAATGGTGTTGTGTTAGATGACAAGGAGAAGGCTCAACACTCGCTGGACACTTCAGAGTCTCTCACCAGCAGTCTAGGCTCATCTCTACCTCCCTCCTCCCCCTCCCCCTCTCCATCACACCAGGTCACCATGTCAGGACCAGTCACTGACCTCTGACCTCTTGCTTGTGTCATCTGGTAGTGCATGTCACACTTAACAACAACAACAAATTAATATTATTTAACTTGTAAATCCCAAAGTTGAAACTATAATTAATTTATACCACACTGATTCTTGGAAAGATCTGAGGAATTTGAAACTACAATATCTAATCCTTTTGCCATTAATAGGCTATAAAGAAACATAATGAAATAAATGTATGAAATAAATGTTAGGGAGTAATAGAGCCAAGAAGAAATTATTTGTGTAATTGATCAAACCAACTATTACCTCTTGCCGATTAAAAATGGTTAAAATATTTTTAATGAAGTTTAACATTTTAAAACCACTTATTAGTTTGCCATGAATATGTCTGTGTTCATTGTTAAAGGTATTGTTTGTTAACACAATTTATAATCTGTTCATTAATATGCTATAAAGAAACATAAGGTTTCATAGTATGAAATAAATGTTAGGGAGTAATAGAGCCAAGAAGAAATTATTTGTGTAATTGATCAAACCAACTATTACCTCTTGCCGATTAAAAATGGTTAAAATATTTTTAATGAAGTTTAACATTTTAAAACCACTTATTAGTTTGCCATGAATATGTCTGTGTTCATTGTTAAAGGTATTGTTTGTTAACACAATTTATAATCTGTTGAAGGGAAATTATATAGGTACGTTGTCACTGGTGCGGCTGGAACTGCAGTCGTTGGACGACAGTCGTTGAACGATAATCGTAGAGCGCCTGCTTAGCATTGTTTTCAATAGTACCGTTGTCACTGACGCGACTGTAGCCGCAGTTGCTTCGACACCAGCAAGTATGTCATTCACAGATCATGCCTTTATCCAAAATTTTACAAGGATATTGTTAGGTACCTTAGGCCCGATTTCACCAAACATTTAAACCGCCGTTAAGCCCTGCTCTAACTGCAGTTAGCTCTTAACTGACGAAATTGGATTTCACCACTCGCCGTTAGCGCTAGTTTAGACTAAACTGTTGTTAGATAATTAACTGCCCAATTTTGACCGGTTAACTTCTTTAATCTTTCGTTAAATAAATATCAGCTCTGGCTTTAGGTTTATATGGAAAGGCCAAAAGCTAGAAGAGCATACCATACGAGTTAGCTTTTGAAAGTGATAGTGAAGAAGAGTATCCTATGTTGTTCGCCGAACTAGGTGGATAAGAGAAAAGTTAATGATTTAACTAAGACGAAATTAGTTTTATTACTAGATATGAATTATTAAAATGTTTTGCCTTTTTCTTTAGGTTATCCCACAAGGTTTTTGGTAAAGGCGTATCTCTAGGTATGTGATCAGCCACTCTTTTATTTTACACCGATTCTTTTATCCCGGCTGAAAAAGTGTTTTTCTACCTACATTATCAAATTCCTTTCTTCTTTGTTCGAAAAAATAGGCTCCCTTTTCCTTTTGAGTAACCCTAACCCTACAGTCAAACAATTAATTTAGTTTGGTCAGACGTAATTAATGACAATAACTAAACCTAAATTGTCATTATTCTGCTGGTATTTTGTTATATTTTCAAATAATAAGTAAATTAGTTCAGTTGAATCAAACTCATACTTTTATGTAAACAGAAAAACTGATACAAACAAAACAAATGCAAAATAACAGGTGATCATTAATTCACATACACATATGGTCTAAAGTCAGTACATCAGTTAAACACATCAATTCTCCCCTCTGAAATGTTTTGGTAACGTTATTTCGCATTTGAGTAGTTGGTCAACATGACGCCGCCAGACAGTTCCATCGTCCATTTGTACTTTATACAGAAGGTTGCTTTCCCTTTGCAATATTCTTCCAAAACTCCACTTGTCTTTTGAGTTTGAATAATTTCTCGCTTGTACTCTGTCTCCCTCCTTAAAATATCGTGTTGCTTGCTTCACATGTTCATTTTCTTGTTTACGTGTAGGATGTAAAAGAGCTATGTGTGTTCGAATCTTCCTGCCAAACATCAAGGAATATGCATCACAGCCAGATGAATTTGAGGTTTGACGTAACTGCATAAGCATTCTGAAGAGTTTGACATCTAGTCTCCCTCCCTCGTCTTCCATTGCTCTTAGGGACTTCTTCACAGTCTGAACATAACGCTCAGCCTGCCCGTTTGACGAAGGGTGGTAAGGAGCAGTTGTTTTGTGTACCACTCCGTTTTCTAATAGGAACTGTTCAAAGACGCTAGACGTAAATTGACTTCCATTGTCAGAAACCAAAATCATGGGAAGACCAAAGTTAGCAAATAGTTTTCTAAGTTCTCTTGTGCAAAATTCTGTAGAAGTATTCTTAGTAGGTATTACCTCAATCCACTTAGTAAAGGCGTCCACAATAATAAAGTACCACTGTCCTTGCATTGGACCAGCAAAGTCTATATGCAACCTTTCCCATGGTCCCTGGGGAGCTAACCATGGATGATTTTGTTCCTTTCTTGGTTCATTTTGTTTCAAACGACATTGTTTGCACGATTTTGCCAATTGTTCTATATCTCGATCAATATTCTTCCATGCACAATAGCTTCTGGCTAGGGATTTCATTTTCTCCATGCCTAAATGTCCAATATGAAGTTCATCAAGAACCTTCCGACGAAGGGATTGTGATATTAGAACTCGACATCCTTTGAATATACATCCGTCTTGAAGTGTTAATTCATTGTCATGGTACCCAAAAGCTTCCACTGATTCACCTTGTTCAAGTGCATGTAGTATTGGTTGAAGGTCTTTGTCGTGGGCTGTTGACTTAGAAATTGTAGAACTACTAATTTGAAAAGAATCGAGTTGACTAAGTTGAAAAAGGTCACAGTTGTCCCTGCCTTTAGTTGAAGCATGCTCAGTTGGGAACCGAGATAAAAAATCTACGTTAGCATGATCCGATGTTCTTCTGTATTCAATTTTGTAGTCGAATCCAGATAAAAAGTGTGCATAGTTAAATAATCTAGTAGCAGATATTGATGGTAGTGTTTTTGTGGAGCTGAATATGGATACGAGTGGCTTGTGGTCAGTAATCAGAGTAAATTTTCGTCCATAACAGTACGGGAAAAACTTCTTAAGCCCCCAGTCGATGCCAGTGGCTTCCTTGTCAATTTGGCTGTAGTGCTGTTCACATTTTGTCAAACTGCGTGAGGCAAAACTTATCGGTCTCTCACTTCCATCACTGTAACGATGTGAAAGAATAGCACCAAGACCAACCGGAGAGGCATCCGTTGCTAGTACCAGAGGCAAATCAGGATTATAATGTACAAGGACCCGATCACTTGCTAGTTCTGATTTGACCCTTTGAAAACTATTCTCGCATTTTGAGGTCCAATTGTAGCGTGCGTCTTTCTTAAGTAGTTGGTTGAGTGGGTGTAGGATTGTTGCTAAATCTTTTATGAATTTGTTGTAGTAGTTTGTTAATCCAAGAAATTTGCGAAGTTCTGTTACGTTTTCTGGTCTTTTGCTGTTTAAGATGGAAGAGACCTTTTCCTTTGTTTTATGAATACCTTGAGCATCAATTATATGTCCCAGATATTTAAGTTTTTACTTTTTAATCTTTCTAGAACAACCTTTAATCTTTTCAAGAGTTCTTCAGATGTCTTACCTTGTATAATAATGTCATCAAAAAAGCATTGCACTCCGCAAATACCTTGTAAAGTTTTGTCCATGAACTGTTGCCAAAGTGAAGGAGCAACTTTGACACCAATACAAAATTTGACAATCTAAAAGGGAAATGTTACAGATGCGGTTCACCTTCTCATCGAGCTAACAAATGTAAATTTATAGATGCTGAGTGCAGAAAATGTACTAAAATTGGACACATAGCAAGTGTATGCTTACAGGAAAAGAACCAGACTAACAGAAATTTGAAGCAATACCAGACTCAAGATGGCTCGGAGAAAGGCAGTGAGTATGAACATGAAATTAATGTACTAAGTGACAGACAAAAAGGTAAATTCATTCTTGACATAACGATTGAAGGAAAAACTGTACCAATGGAATTGGATACAGGTGCAGCCCTTAGTACAATGTCCTATGATGATTTTAAAAAACTGAATGTACGTACAAAAGTATTTAAAACCAACATCGAACTTAGAACGTACACAGGTGAACTTATCAAACCCAAAGGTATGGCATTTGTACATTGCTCATACAAGATGCAAAAATTTGTTGGAAAACTCTACCTTATTGACCAAAATGTAGATGCTATATTTGGTAGAGAATGGCTCAGAGAAGTGACAATTGATTGGGCTGAAATAAAAAATGTGAACGCAATACAACCTGAAAGTCTTGATACCATCCTCAGCGAGTTTGAGGAAGTTTTTGATGGTAGAATTGGAGAGATACCTGAGTATCTGGGACACTATAGACTTATTGACGATGCAACACCTATATTTGTAAAACCAAGACAAATACCCTTTACCCAACAATGAGGACCCGGGAATTGAACTATGTGTCGCCTCAGATGGATTGCTGATTGGGTGAAGTGGTGTAGACCTAGTGTTGGAACATTCATTCTTAATCAACTCTTGAAGTTTTGTTGTAAGATTTAAATACTTATCCTCGACATTACATCTACATTCTATTTCATGGTGCAAGTTTTCTTCATCGGTTAATGTATCAATTTGGTCCTGAATACTTTTGTAACGTTCCCACTGGTCAGCAATTGCTTTGAGTTTAACACTCACCTCAGTCACTGTAAGACTACCTTGAGACTGGAATCTTTCTGCCTTCTTCAACTGTCCTTTTACTACTGCTCGTGCTTTCTTTAGATTATTTAACTCTTGTCCATCCATTCTTCGTTTTTCTCGTCGCCAATGTTATATTTTCAAATAATAAGTAAATTAGTTCAGTTGAATCAAACTCATACTTTTATGTAAACAGAAAAACTGATACAAACAAAACAAATGCAAAATAACAGGTGATCATTAATTCACATACACATATGGTCTAAAGTCAGTACATCAGTTAAACACATCATATTTATAGAAAATCATTATTTTTATGGTATCTTTACTATGTCTCGTTCTTGTAACTCTTTTTGCCTCAAGTTTTGCCACTATATCAAATGTACCGTAAAGGTTAGATTCTGAGTCTTGACTCAACACTCAACAGCAATACTGTACTCAATCCTCTGATCCTCAATTGAATTTGTTTTATCAATATTTCTTTGCCTTTATCTACTTAATGTTAATTGTTTAGCTATTTGTTCTTGTTTTATGTTGTTATTTTGTTCTTGTTGCTCAGAATCTATTGTATAGGCCTACTTGTACTCTTGCTGCCTTCAATGCTCCAGTTTTGTTTTCACTACCTCATATTATAAACACA